ATAAAGACAAACGAGAATCTATATAATGACAAACGAGAGTCTGTATAGAGACAAACGAGAATCTGTATAATGACAAACAAGAGTCTGTATAATGACAAACGAAAATCTGTATAAAGACAAACGAGAATCTATATAATGACAAACGAGAGTCTGTATGAAGACAAACGAGAGTCTGTATAAAGACAAACGAGAGTCTGTATAGAGACAAACGAGAGTCTGTGTAGAGACAAACGAGAGTCTGTATAATGACAAACGAGAATCTGTATAAAGACAAACGAGAGTCTGTATAATGACAAACGAGAGTCTGTATAAAGACAAACGAGAATCTGTATAATGACAAACGAGAGTCTGTATAAAGGCAAACGAGAGTCTGTATAAAGACAGACGAGAATCTGTATAAAGACAAACGAGAATCTATATAATGACAAACGAGAGTCTGTATAATGACAAACGAGAGTCTGTATAATGACAAACGAGAGTCTGTATAATGACAAACGAGAGTCTGTATAATGACAAACGAGAGTCTGTATAAAGACAAACAAACGAGAATCTGTATAATGACAAACGAGAGTCTGTATAAAGACAAACAAACGAGAATCTGTATAGAGACAAACGAGAGTCTGTATAATGACAAACGAGAATCTGTATAAAGACAAACGAGAATCTGTATAAAGACAAACGAGAATCTGTATAATGACAAACGAGAATCTGTATAAAGACAAACGAGAGTCTGTATAATGACAAACGAGAGTCTGTATAGAGACAAACGAGAGTCTGTATAATGACAAACGAGAGTCTGTATAATGCCAAACGAGAATCTGTATAGAGACAAACGAGAATCTGTATAGAGACAAACGAGAATCTGTATAAAGACAAACGAGAATCTGTATAGAGACAAACGAGAATCTGTATAATGACAAACGAGAATCTGTATAGAGACAAACGAGAATCTGTATAATGACAAACAAGAGTCTGTATAATGACAAACGAAAATCTGTATAAAGACAAACGAGAATCTATATAATGACAAACGAGAGTCTGTATAAAGACAAACGAGAATCTGTATAAAGACAAACGAGAGTCTGTATAGAGACAAACGAGAGTCTGTATAATGACAAACGAGAGTCTGTATAATGACGAACGAGAGTCTGTATAAAGACAAACGAGAGTCTGTATAGAGACAAACGAGAGTCTGTATAATGACAAACGAGAATCTGTATAAAGGCAAACGAGAGTCTGTATAATGACAAACGAGAGTCTGTATAAAGACAAACGAGAATCTGTATAATGACAAACGAGAGTCTGTATAAAGGCAAACGAGAGTCTGTATAAAGACAGACGAGAATCTGTATAAAGACAAACGAGAATCTATATAATGAGAGTCTGTATAATGACAAACGAGAGTCTGTATAATGACAAACGAGAGTCTGTATAATGACAAACGAGAGTCTGTATAATGACAAACGAGAGTCTGTATAAAGACAAACAAACGAGAATCTGTATAATGACAAACGAGAGTCTGTATAAAGACAAACAAACGAGAATCTGTATAAAGACAAACGAGAGTCTGACAAACGAGAATCTGTATAAAGACAAACGAGAATCTGTATAAAGACAAACGAGAGTCTGTATAATGACAAACGAGAGTCTGTATAATGACAAACGAGAGTCTGTATAATGACAAACGAGAGTCTGTATAATGACAAACAAGAGAATCTGTATAATGACAAACGAGAGTCTGTATAAAGACAAACAAACGAGAATCTGTATAATGACAAACGAGAGTCTGTATAAAGACAAACAAACGAGAATCTGTATAGAGACAAACGAGAGTCTGTATAATGACAAACGAGAATCTGTATAATGACAAACGAGAATCTGTATAAAGACAAACGAGAGTCTGTATAATGACAAACGAGAGTCTGTATAGAGACAAACGAGAGTCTGTATAATGACAAACGAGAGTCTGTATAATGCCAAACGAGAATCTGTATAGAGACAAACGAGAATATATATAAAGACAAACGGGAGTCTGTATAGAGACAAACGAGAGTTTGTATAAAGACAAACGAGAAACGGTATAATGTCAATTAAGAGTAACAAAGTTGTGTCGTTGAATTATCACCAGTATACATCTTTTAGTGTTTTTGCCTTCATAAAATGGCCGACTGGCCCAGAATATTTTTCCTTTTAGAGAATTCCGTTTCGAAATGACATAATGATTATAACATCTCTTGTTATTTTGTTTATTATTTTGACTAGCCTTAACAGAGACGGTTTCATCTAACAAGACTTTCAAGATTACTATTTGTAAGGTAGCTTTAAAACAAATAGACCAACTGTTCTGTCAATTCATGATACGCGTCTCTGCTCAGCCATGGCTGTTTGCTTAGGTAGAGAGGTGTATGAAACAATGGTCATGTCGCTTTAATACTGCTGGATAACCAGAGAATATGTCTCTTTAATGATATCAAATCAACCGAAGATTTCATAGAGCGTTTCCTATCATTAATATTAATGTGATTTGAAGGTCTTTGTTACCAACTATGTCATGACTTGACACAAAGATAATGTTTAAATATTGTAGGGATTGGATGGACATTGAGGGCTCATCTACTGAATTTCTGCATAGTCATCCTCATCACGTGCTACAAGGACCGTTTAGTAATTGTTAAAACTGTTAAAGCATGACGACCGCGTTTGTTTTCCGGTGGTAACAATAACTCAACAAGTAAACAAAGGATAATATATTGTTTCCTCTCTCGACTCTAAAAGAATTTAGGAGGCGAAATGAATTGCTATGTTTGTATAATGTACCGTTTTTGTATTAACAACACATGTATAATTTATCGGTGAGTCGATGTTTGACGAGAGGTTCAGTAAGAAGGCCGCGTTTTCGGACAAGTTAGTTTGGCAAGTTATTTAAAAATCGGCCACGCACTGGTTATATACATTACTTGTGTTTGAAAGGAATCACGTGACTGAAAATAATTGTCCCGCTAAAGCAATTTATTTCCTGACATGTACTAACATTGTAAGGCATTAAATTAAAAAAATCGATTATTCTAATTTCTGTTTAATTTGCACATGTTTCGAAATGTGGATATTCTTTAAAACTCATTTAATCACGTTCACACTGTTTTTTATTAAACATTTTCAATATCTTGACGATAACACCGCCTCCATTTTTAGTAACAAACTTCGGAAAGATAGTCTTCTTTCAGCCAATATAACACTGTCAGATAAAGCGCTTTTTTCAGCAGCTTTCATTTCGGCTTGTTTTTCCTATTGTTAGGTTTTAATGTTCCTTCACGAATTATCTACCATCTATTTCCGCGTGATTGTAACTCAGTGTTATTTATTTTGTTCTAAGTTTAGAAAGTAACATTACATACTTGGACCGACAACGTTGTGGTCGTCAAGGAAACAGATGACACTTTACCCTACACACGTTTTTTCTGTACCATCTCTGTGACTTCTACCCTACACACGTTTTTTCTGTACCATCTCTGTGACTTCTACCCTACACACGTTTTTTTCTGTACCATCTCTGTGACTTCTACCCTACATACGTTTTTTCTGTACCATCTCTGTGACTTCCATATTTTTCCTAGTTTATATTCTGACCCCCTTTTTTTATCTGTTTCGACGAATTTGAATAGTTGAGTTTATCTCTTAGCATTTATGAATTCATTACTAAAATAATCAGACAAGTTCATCTTGTTTATCCTATTTAAGCTTTGCTAATAAAGCAAATAAAAGATGGAACAGACAGAGGTCAAATACATCTATTTGCAGGCATATTGTACCACATAATTTCTGTGTGTAAGATATATAAGGATAGCTAGAAGTGTCATACTGTTAAAGATGTTCTATTTTAGAGCAAAAGGTTTATAATGAACAGAAATAACATTATCAATAGTGGTAGCAATGTTTACTTATCATGGTTTATGGTTTATTTATGCATTGATCTATATTTTCACAGACTTTTCGTAATAATTTGATGATTAAAATAATAATAATAATAAAAATCATGGAAATCGATGAGGCATTTTAATTACCCTAGTGCTAAGAAATTCAGCATACCTGTATGAATATAGAGGTAAAACACAAGATGAAAACCTGGTTCAGGTGCCATTATTTTAGCGTTTTGTCTGTAGAGATTGACTTCAAGGGTTTGAATATTCACAAATGTTCCTGAACGCGGCCCACAAAACTACTAAGTCTTATCAAAGATACGTGGTAAATAATTTTATTAATTCAACGAAAATATTTCAAAATAGTTATTTTACCTGAAAAATAGAGATAGAAATAGTATATATGACGAAGTTGAATTGTTTCCCCTTTCATGAGAAAGAAGCTCTGAAAGTGTGTAGTCGTATTTGTAATGTTTGGTCATTTTTACTTCAATATGAAAATATTCACGTCTTAAATCCTATGGTTGTAATATGCACATTTATTGGATTTAACTGGGAAAAAATACCCGAAATGATTTTTTTAAGAAGAAAATCAAGATTTTTTTTCCTTTTGCATTACTTCATACAATATATATATATATATATATATCTTGATATTGTACTTCGTGCGTTTATTTTCCTTACTTTAGGAGTTGGTGTATGTATACAATATACGCACGTAAACTCTGTGTCTATTGTTCACTTTGTATGTAATTGAAATGATTCTTTTATGCAATGTGTTTACTATATAATTTTTCTTTATATTATATCGTTCCATATGGAAAACGCTTACTTCACGCGTTTATATTCTTAACTATAGGAGTTGTTGTATGTATACAATATACGTACGTAAACTCTGTGTATACTGTTTACTTTATATTAATTTAAATGTTTCTTATGTGTATATTTGTGTACAAACGCACTATTACTTTCTGTAATGTCAATGTATGTTCTTTTTGTACAACTCTTCACACTTGGAGGAAATAAAAGAAATAATAATAATAATAACGTAAATACTGGCACACTAACATTGGCATCTGATCAATGGCAGAGTACTACAGTTGTGGTAGTATCGGTAAAACTATCGGACGTTATACCAAACACAACGGGCAAAGAAATGCAGGGTCAGCATTGAAGATGATTCTATGTAAGACGTATAACATTCAATATTTTAAATGAAGATGAATCAATACAGAACACACTGTTCAATTAAGGATTTGTATCTGGTAAGTGATTTAGAACTTACTGAACTAATAGATGACTGCCAATATGTCGGACACCTGGGCACTTAGAAAACGATCATATCACTGGATATATTGAAACACCGACTTAAAAGAATAAACATTTATTATAAACAAACCACAAATTGCCTTTGTTCGTTTAAAGGGAGATTTAATATATAAAAGAATTAGGTATGGACACTCGTCAATTATATGTCTGTCACAGAGACGTGTCATAATAGGTATTGTTGATTTTTCATCTTAGTCGTGTTTTAATATTTATAATAACTAGCCCACAGGAAAATTAATTAATAAAGTCACCTGTGGTTTCTGTACAACTAAAGACTTGGGAATCGGAAATGTGTTTATACACCTGCGTTTTAGGTTAATGTTAGGTACTTTATAAGACATTTCCCGACAACTGTGTATCATAGCTAATGTTTAAAGATAACATTTCTGTCATAAACAAGTACCGATTTATGTTTTGATAGACTTACCTAATGTTCTTATACTTAGTATGGGCTGAGACGATAGCAGATTACGCTGTAGGGTTGGACGTTATAAACTGTATCCAGTTAGGTAAACATATATGGTAATTACAAAAACAAATATTTTGTATAAATCTTGTTTGATGTCAGTCACATTTACTTATAACGTCTTATCTATAAAAGATGTAATTCTGTAAATAATTAAGTTATTTGTGTCCACCATCTGAAGTGTAAACAACTGGTTTTTGTTACAAAACGATTTTGATTATTGAAATATTTAATCGTTTCTAAACCAAACGAGATCACTGTTCTATGTTTCCCTAGTATTAAAGTACATTTCGATTGTGACTTTAATCTTTTATTTTATCTATTAATCAGTCGTACAAACATCAATTCAGATTTTTGTCACAACAGTTAAGTACTAACGTACAGTAATGTATTATAACATATCATTTTAATGCTTTTATTGCTGCGTGGCACAAATAACCAATACATACGCAGTGATTTTTGTTTTCGACATCGGTTAAAGACATTTTTTTCATTCTCAAGTTTATGCCATTTGAAACTCACAAATTATTTAATGAGGATCATACAGCAAGTCTTAAATACACAAGAATTATTTCAATAGTATAAGGTGCTTGGTTAGTGAAATGGTAAGCAGGCTCTCCCTTCACCAAGGCGTTACGGGTTCGAGTCTCGCTTGGTAGTCCAGATTTATAGAACTTCAATTCCCCTTATGTCCTTCATGTTCCTTCTTTTTTGTTTTTATCCTGATTTAGAATTGTAAATTCTCGGAGTGTTAAAAAACTTATATGTAACGATGTAGTGTGCTTTCAACGGCTTTAACATGTCTTAATCGATTTGTTAACATGTTAATTTTACTAATATTATTTTTTGCATTACAGAATGTGCCGATGTCACCAGTGTAAATCCTTCCAAAGGAAGTACAAATGGAGCGGTTCTGTTAACCATTGCAGGTAAAGGCTTCGCCCAGAATCAGTTTAACTATGGAGCAGGAAACTCTCACCTCGGTAACAATGTCACACTGGTGTCGGGGACCCAACAGTTTGACTGTCCCGTTCAGAAAGATGGTACCCACGAGACACAGATCCTGTGCACTACTCTGTAAGTTTGACGTCATCTTAGCTCGTGATCACATCCTGTCCTTAAATTGGTTTGATAAAGGTTCTACGTCTCTGTGACTCTTTTGAACCGTTGTTGTCTACAGGCATATCTGATGACGTCAGTTCCTCTTCCGCTGTCGTATTCTCTGTATAACCGTGACCTTGCTTGACCTCTAGCGGATCAGGAAAGTAACAGCAAACCCCATACACTAATGGTATATTTTGTCTAGAGATATCTTGACTTTTAAAACACTTTCTTAAACTTCGTTGTCACAAAGATTCCACGTCCTCGTGTCATCGATATATATGTATAGGACATCACAAGTAAATGAACTGGATTTTACAGCCAAGGATAAAGTTTTAATGTTTCTCAATGATAGATAATTGAATTATCCTGTCTCTATAGCCTTACTGTTCGTATACAGTCAAATGAATGATTTAAGTTCACATCACTTCTATGCCGGCTGACTCATGCACACTCAAACCGATAACTTGAATTTCAGTAATCAGTTATTGTAAGTAACACTGGTATATATATATATTTTGGTGATGGAAACCCCCATCATTGATATTCAAGGTATCAAGATTTAACATAGTTCAACTTCTTAGTCACAGTTGTAAAAATGTTAATTAGTAATTGTAATTTACACCATCATAGGTGACATTAAGACATTTCTACTTCTGTTATTCACAGTAATAAACATTCAAGTATAATGACAGTTTAAACGTCTTTGCCCCAGTGTACGAATGGAATTATTATTCAGTAATTGTATATTGCATATATAAATGTGTGTGTGTGTGTGTGTGTGTGTGTGTGTGTGTGTGTGTGTGTGTGTGTGTGTGTGTGAGGGTGTGTGTGTGTGTGTGTGTGTGTTTTGTTACACAATGTACAGAAACACGGTGTTTACTTGGGTTGACCGAAATGTTTATTTCATCGTACAGTGGTTTACCATAGTTAGTACTTCGCGTTAGTATCCTTTACTAAAGATAGTTCCTAATCAACATACAGCATCATGTCGTGGCACCAAAACTAAACACCTGTGTAAGGCAGACAAAAACTAAACACCTGCCCGTCCATATCAAAGAGTTCCATACAAATGTCCATGGGCCAACTTGGCCAGGACCCGCTCCATCGCGGAGCAGGTCCCATACGGGACTCTGCCCGTCTCCACGTCCGACTCCCAACTCTCTCTAGCTACTCGATCCAAGACTCGACTAGACTTCTGCTGGCTATTGTCTTTGTATAAATAATACCCAAATACTTAATTTAAGCCTAGTCCCAATTGGACAACAATAACCCATCCCCCGGAGCATCTAATTATGAAGGCACGTGCGACTAGGAGTACCCGTTATGAACTTCCCATCTTTGATCTACCTTATACATTGTTTCTTATCTTGTTTACTTACAAATGTGTTCGCCAGCGCGAGGCATACAAGAAAGCATCTACCTGTCCTGATCAATCATACTGGCGATATTCTGCCACGGTGCTTCACCACTTGGGTACACACCCCGCCCGTTATCAGGCGTGCATCACTACCTATCACTCACGGGATCTTTTCCTCGGTCCAGCATTAACTGACTTTTGACCTGATGTACTCTAAACTAAGATGCTGCTCTCTACGATACACACCATTCCAAAATTACCATTAAACCCATTTTTCACTCATTTTGTTAGTTTGTGTAAAGGATGTTTTCCATCTTTGATCTCTAGCGTAAAAATGGATTACTTTTAAAATATGTTTATTGATTATGCGTAATTTTAAGAATTTTAATGTCTCATAAGTCAAACAATTATGGGTGAATTTTGATAATTGATTTTTATTTTCTATTCCTTGATAGTCGTATGCCGGCTGACTCATACTCAGTTAAAGTAGCTGTTGATGGGGTTTCAATCGACGACAGCAACATATGTAACGACTGTCCTTTTGCTGTACGTATTTCATTGTGTTTGACTCAAACATATGATATATCAATTTTACAACATTGTCTGAAAAGGGAAAGTGACTTCAACACATTCTAAATGTCTTGTCATGTATCACATCTGAGTTTTCTGTTTTAAAACATACGTACTGCAGGTCACCTTACACGATTACATATTGATAAAAAAAATAATAACACTTGTTTTTCAAGTAAATTAATTTTTATGTACAACGCAATCCCTTTATAACTCGGACTTTTCTCCAGTGACGTCACTATTAAGTAAAACATAGTCTATTTTGAACACGTTCACGATTATAACGATTTCTTGTTACAATTTCAGTCTAGTGATTCAAACACACCAACCGTTACTTCTATTGAGCCTCGTTCTGGTCCTCCAGGTAGGAAACCATTGCTTTTCCCTGGTTTTATAACTAAGTTATTTATTTACAAAGAGTCATGTACGTACAATATTTATAGTTTCTGTTTATTTGACTATAGTCTTTATCTCATGTTATGACGAAATCTTGCGAGACAATGTAACCTTCTGAGAGGCTAACATTGATATAATGGCAAAACACGATCGTTTTTTAATCACTTCAATAGTCTTCAGCCGACATGTTCATTCAATATGGCGTATTAAACAATGCAAATGAACTATTGTATGTTAAGTATCGAACACTGTGTGATAAACATAGTATGACAAACATTGTATGATAAACATTGTGTGATAAGCATTGTATGATATATATGGTATTACATTGTATTATAGACAAATTATGATAAACATTTATGATATACATTGTATGATAAACATGGTATATATGAGATCTACGTGTATGTCAAGTTGTAAATCTCTAACACGTAAGAGTTTAAATGATGATGCCGACAGAACATCTATGTGGTACTATTGAACTCATGATTGGGCTGAACTGTGTATATCTGATTCTAAATTGTACTGAAAGGTGCTATTTACATGTGACTTTTGTAGATTATTGAAATAAAGTTATATTGAATCTACAGATATTTCGTAAGATAAAGTGTCCATATTTACATCAGACACAGAAATAACCTGTTTGTTGATTCTGAGAAGTCAATCATTAGTATTATAAGTGTTACAGGATACAATTTTCTGGGTTCCAGGTACAATTATAACACTTTCTGGAAAGATCTTCACAGATATGTATGGAAGTAACAAGGATGAAAGTTCCAATGGGAAAACAGTCAATATTGTACGGTATGTTTATTTCATGAAAACAATTGTCCTGTGGGTGAGGATTTAGTTTAAAAAACTATTGCAGATCCAGATAATGAAGAAAATGCAACGAATAATTCTAACTCCACGTAACCAAAAAGAATGAAAAGTAAACATAATATTAGACTAGGTATTTAAAAAAAAACCTTTTAGGTAGATATCGTGAGAAAGAATGGCGAGTACATATAACAATACACGTGTTGTTCAACTAATTGCCATTTTGTTCAAGGAATAAATCATATAAAATGAATGAGTAAAATTCTAAATAAAAAAACCCCTTCAAACTTTTCTTACAGTAAATATGTATAATATGACAGAAGTGGTCATTATTTATTTCAGTATTTTAGGATATCGATACTAGGATTCGAACGAGGGACCACTGTTTTTCTAGTATCACGCTCAACATATCGAGCAAGTTTTCGCAACTCGAGCAGTATTTTGCGGCTCGGCTAGAAATTTAACAGAGTGACACTTATTCTTCCCAAAACGATTTTGAAAGCATAGATAAAGAAACGCTTAATTTTGATGTTAGATCCATGCTTTGTCTTGTAGAGTTTATGTTGGAGGTCAAAATTGTGAGCTGAAGCAAGCAGATGACGTATTGTAAGTATCCAGTTCATCCGCCGAAAACGTTCAGACCAATGTAATCAAATCTTCATTGTATAGTTAGTCCTGGCCTACTTTCACGTACTTAATGTTTATTGTGTATACATATATCAAACATTAAATACAACAAGAAAATACCAGTATGCCAACATTATCAATATGCAAACTCAGATGCAACAAAACTAGGGCAATATATGACCAAAAGAAAGATTTACATCGAGGCTCGTGGACAAAATACAAGGAGCAAAGGCAAGGTGTTTCGGAAAAGTAAGCGTCTTCTACTTCATCGACGACATCCACCATATATATGCTTTGTACAGTTCCCAATTTGTTCCTAAAAGCTAATATATCTAAACCAGACATCACGTTTTATACACTTTTGTGTAGTTGTGGTGGCTGATCAAATGGTGCGGATCAATGGTTTTATTTCCAAGAAAAGAACGTTAAAAAGACAGTTATTTTCATCATCAATATTTTATAACAAGTTATTGTCTCCACAGTTATGGGATCCAGTTGGACAACAATGGTGGCAGTGATAATGGTTATATCAAATGTAAAATCGGAGTGAATGGCACTAAAATAGGTAAGTAATCGATTGACCACTGGTCAGCTAGTCGGTCAATGTTTGTAGTGATAGTGAAATTAATATATACCGCACTATTTCTATACAATAAATTTCACATGTGTCGTTTGATTGAAAGGCCATTATTTGTAGATTTAGAGCGGAAAATAAGTATGATAAGATGTTGTCTATTTCACCTGTATACCCGACATACACAACACACACTTTCTGCACAAAACACGTAGTGACTCCATTATACGATGCTTTAAACGTGTGTTTAAAAACTGTAAATTTTATATCTTGATAATTATGAGTTTAACCAATAAATTCAAATTCGATTTTATGAAAAATAAAGTTAAAGAGATTAATAAAATCCTAGATCGATGTTTGTTTTTAAAAACGTTTCTTTCATTGCAGCATTTTCTGTGGATAACCATAGAAAAAGACGTTTTATTATAACATTCCGCTTTATATCCACGGTCTTTCTGTTATTGTAACAATGATCTGCTGATACAATATTTCAAAATGACATTTAACGTTTAGATAATTAGTATTCTGCCCCAAAGGTTCCAGAGTGAATATGAAGGTTTATCGACATGTCAACCTCCTGAGTCGATACTGACAATGCTAAAACCATATCAAACATCACAATCCCTTGAATATCAACATTTGTATTTGGTTACTTATAGGGAACATCAATGGCACTTTCATCATTTCTGATGAGTACGGAAGGTGAGTAGATTTTTTTTTTCAATTTGAATGTCGCTTGTTGCCATTTTCTAATGAATTATAGCATTTGTTTTACGTATTACGAAAAAGAAACATCATGCGCTTTTACCTTTAGAAACATTACTCAAGTGTGAATAAAAAAGTACTAAACTTCGTATTTGTCAAATCAGAAACTAGTTGCTTTATGTTCAGGGCTGAACCAAGTAAGGACTTATACCAAGTCAGTGGGAATTACCAGTTCTACATGTTCCAGACTTACGCTGGTATGTACATTGTTTAACCATGAAATGAGACATAATCATCATAAAACATACCTTACGGGATTGTAAACAAGGTAATAGATTCTGTATGCTAAACTATACACGAGCAGTAAGTTCTAAACTTATTGTGGGCGGAGATAGTGCTTTCATTCTACCCATATAGACTTTTCTTGAATTGTAAATTTCTTGGTTTCTTCTGGTTTAAAAAAAAATCCAATGGAATGTGTTGGTATTTTGATCATTTCATTAACATTGATATAAAAAACGAGTTTCATGAAATTGCTTCTGATACATATACTATTTTTCATGTTGAAACGTCGTGTTCTATTTATTCACGATAACCACGGTCACCCCAGCCACTGACAGTGTGGAGGGTGGGACTCCGTTCTTCATTATACTTCTGTTCATGTTAAATGGTCGTGTTCTATTTATCAGAGATAACCTCGGTCACCCCAGCCACTGGCAGTGTGGAGGGAGGAACCCTTATCTCCATCAACGGAAGTAACTTTGACGAAACCCGCACTGGTGCCGTTGTAATGGTTGGAGGTAGGTATCAATTAAGCCATATAAATTGTCTTGATTTCTAAAATGTATGTAATATAGCGATGTTGATTTTGTTGCGTATCTTACATATGAGAATGGCGTGTACTATTGACTTATGTCCCTAACTTTATGAAACAAACGCGAAGAAGCTACCAATAATAAATTCAAGTCCAGTTTTGAACGATGTCTTAGCACATAAAAACAATTTTACAGAGAGAACAGGAACAAAAACCAAAAAAACAGAATACAATACCAATAATTTTCTATTGGCTTTCTTAGCTATTTTGAAGACTGTCTAAGTTTTATAACCGTCATTAAAAATCAACAGTCTCACGAGTTATTTTATTTTATTCTATTGACTTTTATGAGCGATATGCAATTTGTCTTTAGTAATTCAGGAAAATAAAGGCATACACAAACCTTGCTAACTTAAAATGTTGCTTGTATTATAGGTACGCCCTGTACTATAAAGGGCGCCGTGAGCAAAACACTGATTACATGCGAGACAGCAGCTAAACCAGTATCGACTCCAGCCAGACATGCAGGTAGTATCTGTTACACACCATCAACATGTTTTCTGGTTTGATCGTATAACTTTTATTATGCTAATTGCGTTGCGTCTATGTCCCTCAGCTATACATCCCTCATAGGAACATGATGTCTACTCTCTCTACCGCTCGCGCGTTCTCTCCCCCACGCTCGACTTTCAAACCTCGAGTGTCGCTTTCAATCTAATCACTCAGTCCCCAGTCTGACTATTTTCTATCCTCAAAATAAATCTACATTGTGAGAACAGAGAGAAAACATGTGTCTAATTGCTGCACATTATTCAATTATTAACCTTTTAAGGTTATCATACATTATCAACTTCCACACGGACTCGCAGAATTAATTATCGAATAAACAATTAAATCATTGAAATCATTAGCTTGTCGCTGGTGACCTCTGTAAGGGAGATTGAAAGCTTCTCTCGCAAATTAGATGTCAACCATCTCCATGGACTATTGAGATTAATGTTTCAGATGTCCATTCCAAACTAACTTAATCGGAATTTAATTGGAAACGAATTTAGTATAGCATTGTGTTGATAAAACTAGCCTTCTCTCTGCACTACTTTATCCATGCTTGGTTAAAGTATATATATATATAGAGAGAGAGAGAAACATATCGATATATATATATATTATACATTTCCACAACCAAACCATACTTACTTATACTACCAATTACATATCAGCAATGATTAATTATTTGTAATTAAATCAATAAACTAACATTTTACAGCTATTTTGTCATATATCACTGTAATCGTATATATTGACCTGTAGGTTTAACCACTCTGTGGATACTGTTTCTTTTGGATGAACACTATGCATTTTCATTATTTGCTTAATTTCCTTAAGCAATATTTCCTAAGTTTCTCATACCTATGCTTTTATTGCTAGGAAACCGTGGTCTAAAGCTTGAGATCTGGAATGCCACCACAAAGACACAAGCTCTTTTGTCCGAGGTTGGAGCTCTAGACAATAGTGCCGCAGACTACTTCACGGATTTCCTAGATGAGGCATACTACACTGACAGTACCATGGATAATATGGTCACGAAAATGAGCGGATTCTTCAAACCACCTTTTGACGGATCCTACAGTTTCCATATCATGGCAGATGATGGGGCTGAACTTTATCTCAGCACTGACGATGACCCTGCCAATATGGTTAGTCATGGAATTTTATTTCAGCTTAGATATGTTGGATGTACATGTCTTCTTCAGAACGGTAAACATTATACCTATATCTAAAAGAAGTTTGCACTCTTGAGTGTGACTTATTCTGCCCTATATTATGCAGATTATACATTTTCTACCTCAATATTTAAACTGGTCGGACGATATTAATCTTTAGGATGCGTGCCGAAATAGGAATTTCAAATGTTTTGTGATTCAACATAAATGGGTAACTATTGGATTTTGACTGCCGGAGTAGTTTTAAATACACAATACTGTTGAAGATAACTGTTCAATTTCAACACTATGATGCCTTTAACTGTGTGTCATTAAGCGGTAATCATAATAATCGATATTTTTCTTTAATATGATATTGATGAATAGTTGATCAGAATTAACCTACGATTATTCAATGCATTGGTGTGATCAGTGATTGCGTTGTATTAACTTGCACTACTTCTCTAATTTTGAAAACGTGGTATTGCTCATCTTTGTCCTTTTTCACATTTCTTCTGATAAAGACTCGGTTTTTTCCTCAGTTTGATTCATTTTTGTCTTTTTTTATTTGAGTTCAAATGATAGTTTTTTATCTATCGGTATACTATACTTGCGCTGTTTCCGACCTCAATTTGTCTTATCCTTTCAATAAGATGCAATTCCATTTATTTGATGCGTGTTCTGTCGTTTGAAACCTCATACCAATTAATAATTATAGCAAAGAGTGCATGTTTTCTTAGACATTATATGTTTATTCATTAGGTGAGAATTGCTTACGCGGGACTTACAAGCAACTATGATAGCGCCATTAGTCAGAGTTCCTCAAGGAAAAACCTGGCCAAGGCTAACAGGTAAAAAATACCATTGAGTAAAGATATTTTAAAGACAAAAACAGTTGATATTGTCATAGGTCTTCAGAAAATGGTCAACATGTAAATATATTTATAGACCAAAATAGTTATTATCATATGTCTTAACGAAAATGGTCAACATATTGCAGATATCATGATACATCACGATTGGACGAGACACAAACTCATTACTATTTAATGTAAAATAACATTTAAATCGATGTTATTGTGGGACATTATTATTGTGGAACATGTACGTACAGGCTCAAAGACAGTGATTGCCAATATTTCTGTCAGATTTCATTTGAAAGCTTTATTGAATGTTTTAGTAAGTTATGGTAAGTTTCCATTTTTCAAGGAGAACTTTATCGCTGATGTATGTGGAAAACCATTTAGCCCATCATTGCGTCACCCCTCCATGTGTTTAAAATTAAGTACCTGTACATTGAAATTAATCTTTTCTGTTGAGATTTCTTACACATTATGATATTATAAATTCGTCTTTACAACTCTTCTTACATTCTCTAAAAGTTATCCTCCTATACATGTCTCTGAAAAAAATAATTGAAAGAGACAACTGCCGAGAAACTAAAAATCAGGGTTGATTTTTACATAGATACAAACGAAGAGTTTATACAGATTTTGTACATTAACTATATAACGCATTTATTGATTGTTGTAGATATTATATGGAAGTCTATCACCGTGAAGGAACAGTTGGGGCGTACGCCAAAGTTTCAGCTCGCTTCTACGATACAAATTTAACAAGGGCTTACACAAACAACGCTAAGCCGGAAGTTCAAAAGATAGAGGTTACATCTACCATTAAACGTGAGATCCAGGATATCACCTTCTCTGGTTTTACTACCGGATCTTCGACCTCTGCTGTACAGGAAGTCACAATTGAGGAGAAAGTATCTGGATCAGGAGGCCAGTTCAGATTGTCCCTTTACAATGCGTTTACAGGTACATGATGAGAGGAAACAGTCCTTACTTATGCTCACTGCTGATTAATTACATATGCATAGCCCGTGTTAATTATATCATATATGTTATCATAACCTGGCCTTCATGTGAAACAAAATCTGAAACCAGTCCGTTTACAGAACGTGAAATTGTTGATAAAGTGTCCCTACTTCTGTCCATAGAAAATACCCAGTTCTTGCTATATAAGCATACTAACTCATACTTCTCACAAAACTCCGCTAGAATTTTAATATTTTTCTTCGGTCCTCATGGCTGGCTAGTTGTCTACCTTTCCTTATCTGCACTATCGTTATTCCTTCAAAACCCTAAACTATTTATGATTGCAGATTTAATCGCGTTCCAGGCGGACTCCGCTGATGTAGCGACAGCTATCAATAAGCTCCCAGTGTTTAGTAGCGGTGAAAGTGTATCTGTTACGTCACAAACTACCTCCACGAACGGCTTCAAATACACAATCACCTTTACATCGGATAGGGGTAAGTACTTGTAAACTTAATCATTTGATGAGATCATGTGCACAAAACATATACTACCATGTATATATCTCCTTCCTTAGTAACGATCCATCATCGATTGACCTATTTTATCAGTATTTACGTCGTTCCGTTCGCCCTTCGTCATTGATAGGTATAATGAATTTCTTCACTTGATCCTTGTTCCTGATTTCTGATATGTCAATTATATCACATGAAATATGACCTGACGCATTTAGGGGACACTGGCGATACTGACCTTCCATTGATGCAATTTGTTTCAGGAGACTTCCCAGCCTTTGATTTCGAGACTTCAGCCTCACTTACAGTGAGCGTAACCAAGACAACAACTGGAGTTCCGAGTGGTGCAATGGTGGCTTTGTCGATTGCTGGAGTTCCCGCACCGCTCTTGTCACCAGGGGCGCCATCTAGCGAGGTATGAACTTGTCAGGAAACAACTGAATATCGTGCCGATAGTATTGCTGTTTGGTTTATTTTAGAATGTATACTATTGTATTGTACTTCTTGTCTTGACTTTTCAAGGAATGTTTTATATCAGATAACATTTTCTTGCATGATGTTCAAGAAGTGTTTTCTTCTTTGCTACGAGTTTATTGTAATACATTCACTTCTGAATGTGGAGTACCTCTGGTTTTATTGACAATTCTCATAGAAATACTATTGAATACATTTCAGATTTATTTAGCTTTACATTCTATTTTGTGGCGCTGTACATGAATATAGAATTACCGCATGGTGCCTGTTTGGCCACGAATTCATACTACGCTTTACAAGGAGTTCTTAAATTAACATTTTGACAATATTAACGATGATTATCATCAAGGTACAAAAATCAATGGAGACACTCTTCAGCACAAGATGTCCGTCACATATATCGAGCCCTGCTGGAAAGAAAGTGCAGTACACATTTGAATCTTCCTCTTCTACCCCGTCCTACAACCGATATAACCGTTTTAAAGAAATGGAAGCCTTCTGCGGCAAGTTTGTCGTCAAAAACCCGAGATATATCTTCAGATCTGATTCAAACACTGATCCACTTTCCTTGACGCTGAGCCCAAAGGTATTTACTTCTAAAATGACGAAACAGCTGTATAATGAATTGATTGTTTCGCTGAACTGAATTAGTTTAGCGAAATTTAGCTAGTACCTGGTAAGGAGAAATACACAATTCAGGTCTCTAGTATGGCTCTATAGCAGATCAGTAGTAGGTTAAATGACTTGTAATATCTACCTCTCATTAACTTCTACTGATAAACAAGGACCTTATTTATCACTGGAAAACACGATAACCGTTCTTATGTCATAAAATACAAAGTATAAAACAGCTAGTGATTATCAAACCTTCACGTAACCAAAACATGTCAATTTATTACAGCTATGTTTCGCTCATCAAGGGGCTATCGGGACTAACCTCAGGGTGTCGTACACATACACAGACCAACAATCAGAGTCTGTTGATGCATGGGCAACATTGTCAAACGTCATTACAACAACCGGAACTACATCGTATGTATTTCTGTATTAGGGATATTGTTTAGGGAAGTCTGAAACATACAACAAATGTGCACTTGAAAGATGATGCCGACTAAAATCAGTTCAGTGCTTCAAGGAAATAAATATATTTTATTATTTTGATCTTAGTTAATCATGATACCGGAACTCGCGCAAAAACCGTTTTTTATTTTACCAAAATATTCATCTTCAAATATTAGCTTGGATCAATAAATTCAACTAAGCATTTTTGGTTCCCTTCTAGGTGGGAATACAGCTGTGTCGAGGTCTTGACTGCTTTGAGCGCCATCGCAACTGGAGGAAGCAGATTTTTCCTGAATACAGTAATTGTCTATCGTTCCGGAGATATGTACATCGATGAAGTGTACATGGGTACAACAACGCCGACCACTGATGGTAGATTTAATTGTATTTTACATTAAAATTAAACACAAGTTTCTAAGAAATGTCTCTGGATCACGTGATATTTATATAGTCTGTATCAAGGACACAGCTGATGCATTGAAATCACACAAAAATAGATACCATGAAAATGTAATTAAAAGAAAAACAGGTCACACCTTTTTTGATTGTTGAAAATTGAAACATTGTGAAAATCGTTTCTTTTAATTAAGAATGTCGTCTACCGGTATTATCTAAATCATATAAGGCTTGTTTTTCGAACTGTGCCTCTCGATAACTTTCATGCAGTTCTGCCTTGTCCACTTACCAAAACAATTTCGCCCCTTGTTCGTTAGATAGGTAGACCCATGACCTCTTTAAATTGATTCAATTCGTAACTGTTAGTCAGCTACAAGTTGGCATTATTAAATATCAAGTCAAAATCGATCTTAATTCTTAATTATCTGCTGCAGCTGGAATCGCGATGCAACGTCTAAAGGCAGCCACACCAAACGGTGTACAAGTAGATAGTGTCACAGTGACTGGGTCAGCAGGTAGTCACCAAGTTACCATTGTCCCGCTTAATTGTGGATACAATTTCCCACTTTTCACTTCCGCTTCGTCACAGGTAAGAAACATAGAAATTTTGATAAATAGATGACTAAGACCCAAATAATATAAAGGATCCCTATGTTATACTTCTCAATTCTTTAGAGATATAGACCCAAATAATATAAAGGATCCCTATGTTATACTTCTCAATTCTTTAGAGATATAGACCCAAATAATATAAAGGATCCCTATGTTATACTTCTCAATTCTTTAGAGATATAGACCCAAATAATATAAAGGATCCCTATGTTATACTTCTCAATTCTTTAGAGATATAGACCCAAATAATATAAAGGATCCCTATGTTATACTTCTCAATTCTTTAGCGATATAGACCCAAATAATATAAAGGATCCCTATGTTATACTTCTCAATTCTTTAGAGATATAGACCCAAATAATATAAAGGATCCCTATGTTATACTTCTCAATTTTTTAGAGATATAGACCCAAATAATATAAAGGATCCCTATGTTATACTTCTCAATTCTTTAGAGATATAGACCCAAATAATATAAAGGATCCCTATGTTATACCTCTCAATTCTTTAGAGATATAGACCCAAATAATATAAAGGATCCCTATGTTATACTTCTCAATTCTTTAGCGATATAGACCCAAATAATATAAAGGATCCCTATGTTATACTTCTCAATTCTTTAGAGATATAGACCCAAATAATATAAAGGATCCCTATGTTATACTTCTCAATTCTTTAGAGATATAGACCCAAATAATATAAAGGATCCCTATGTTATACTTCTCAATTCTTTAGAGATATAGACCCAAATAATATAAAGGATCCCTATGTTATACTTCTCAATTCTTTAGAGATATAGACCCAAATAATATAAAGGATCCCTATGTTATACTTCTCAATTCTTTAGAGATAATACATAAAGGATCCCTATGTTATACCCAAATAATATAAAGGATCCCTATGTTATACTTCTCAATTCTTTAGAGATATAGACCCAAATAATATAAAGGATCCCTATGTTATACTTCTCAATTCTTTAGCGATAATACAAAAACTTCGAAACAAAAATAAGACTGGGTTTTATTTAAACAGAACACATGCTTTTCCTTATATTTCCAAATAAAGAAAACAAGAAATGAGATTGATTAGAGGGAAATGTCAATGAACAAATACGATTTTCTCAAGGAAAATTTAGAATATAATGTAAAGAGACATGACACGCTAGAAATGTATCAACAAATAACACTAGGCAACTTATCTATACGTTTTGTCAAAGACTCCTTCTGGAGCAAATGTTACAGTGAACAGAGACCAAGCAGCATCTCCTCCGATCCAGGGCACGTTTACTCTAACATTTCTAGAAACGACAACTCCTGGTGAGTAACAGCAATTCGATTACTTGGTGAATAGGGTTTTAAGATCAATAATTTAAACTCCTTGTGCATTGACCTATTGATAAATAGTTTTAATTATATCTATTTCTTTGTTTCTTTTTCTTGTGTTTCCATTTTTGTGAATTTTTGGTTTTCGTTTTGTTTGTATCATTGTTGATATTATCATTGGCGAGAAAAAAAATCAATAAATAAATGTAAATTTATTTTCTATTTTTATTCATCATATTTAGTATTCGAAAGAAAATTAAATCCTGGAACTTGTTTTCATGAATTCATGGATAAACAGTACTCAGAAAATCTACTAGAAATTTGTATCCTAAGTGATTATCATTTGTTCGCAGTTAATTATTTAAGATAAATCTCCAAATAAACGAATATCAGTTACTTAAGGTTAAAATATTCTTTTGAGTTATCATCTGCCATACATGTTTGAAATCAGTTTCTGAACCGATAAACTGTTGATGCTTATATTTGATTAGTTGAATATCTTTGTGGATTGGCATGTATAACCTCTGACATTGCTGAAGAGCTCTTAAAGGAAAGACAACTCTTTATTATACAAATTTAATCATTATTGAGTACATTCTGTTTTATTTCATACTTAACTGAACATAATTCTAAAGTTTTATTTGAAATGGTGTCATTAATTTCTTTGTGTCATTTGTACAATCAACCACGATTTTGCTACTGAAATATTCTAGCACGTGTCTGTTTTTATTTAATCCTTTAAAAAGCAATGCCGGCCGACATTGATACAGACAGTTTAGCAGACAACTTGAAGTCAATTGAGGGTCTCAATGATGCATCGGTTACAAAAGACGGAGATTGCGCCAATTTCAATTGGATGATAACTTACGACTCTTTGGCCGGGGACCAGGCGCTAATTCAGGTGAAAAAAGTCTTGAATTTAAACACAGATATAGAAAAACACTTGCTTCAGTATAATATGTTGAAGGTGCATCCAATTTACAGATAATGTATCCTTTCTCTGAAGTTATTTGTTGGTTATTTTCCCAGGTTGACTCTAGTCGTCTTACAGGAGAATCTGTTGTCATGCTACCTAAAGATGTGACAGACGGCCATGTTGTTTTTGATCCTATACCAGGGGAATTACTCAGAGTTCCCGATAGTAAAGCACAGGTACTTATGTCAGTTACTGATGTTCGTTCTATCTGAAAGATAATCGATTTTTAAAAAAAATTTGAAATCATCAATCAAGTTGAATCTGTTCAGTATTGATGATCTTTACAGAAAACACCATTTTTGTTTTATTTTAAGCAGAGTAATAACGTAACCTTTAAACTTGAATTTAAAGAATCTGGTTATTTAGTTTCATATATGAAAGGAATATTCGAGAACAAAAAAAAAAAGAAAAATATTGATAAGTAAAAAATGTGTGAAGACGTGAAAATATCGACTCGTTAATGATTCTCCTGGAGTAGTCCTAGAGTGCAAGTTTAGAGTTAAATGAATGTAAAGATAACTATTTTTGAAAGCTGTATGTTGGTTAGTTAGAGGTTTATCTCACTTTATTAAAATCATATTTGTGCTCCAGGTGACGACATTTATCAATGATGTGCCGACTAAATGTTCTGGAACATGTGACTTTGAATGGTTAATGAGTAGTACGCCTACAGTAACAAGCATATCTCCGGGTACAGGTGAGTCTTCAAAATGTGCAAGGACAGGAAATCCCCAGAGAAGTGACTTATTCAAATTATCCTGACTTTTTTCCGGGTTGTTCTTTCATATTTATCCCTGAAGGGTACGTTATAGCGATATGAACCTGTTTTCAATCCTCAATCCACTAGAACTCAAGTCAGAGATGTAACTATTATAAAAGTACGTTTTTTTCATACCCTTTGAAAGTATTATACATACAAATTTATCACACAATGCGGCAATTGACTTCCCTGATGAATTTTGACATTATGTTTTGATATTTTTCAATCGCCTTCCATGATTTAAAAGTTAGGTCCATAGGTCACCGATGAGTTAGATTCTTAGAAGGAAACTACTGGTAAATTTGTATTGAAACGTGATAATGATTTTGGCTTTTTCTTGCAATCAATTGTTTTGCCTATTATGACCTAGCAGTTTAAGTTATTGAACATGTTTTCCATGAAAACTAAAACTAATGAGATATTATTTGAATGTTCATAATTTTACCTCTAGTGAGCAACATTATATAATAATATATAATGAACGTATTGTAGAAAGTTGAACATTTTTGGATAATCAGATCTACCAAACGCTACTTTTGGTAGGGCTCTCTGGTACAGTTGCTACCATCTCCGGGACGGGGTTCAGTGGAACACCTGCTGAAAATTCTGTAATGATTGGAGGCACGGCCTGTGTTGTGACTGGATCCACATCTACATCAATTACTTGTATAATTGGCAGCGGCCCAGAGGGCATTTACAAGGTAGATGTCAATGTGGCAGGTTCTGGAATGGCGCAACACAGTGGTGGTGACGTCAGTTACATCTATACTACAGGAATCAACAGTTTCACACCATCGTCCAGTAGTTTAGGCGGTAAGTACAGCCATCTATGATTTCTCCACCATTCTTTTGTAGTCTGAGCGGTTTACACTGTTTTCGATGTCCCTCTTCTGTAGTTTATTGTTTATACACCCTCTTCAAGTTGTTGAAGTACTAAGTAATCCCTACAGTTTTTAATGTGATATGACTCATTAAATAAGTCGATGTCGGTTCATTTCGCTTTCTAGGTGGCGTAAATCTGACTGTTGATGGATATGGCTTCAGGAGTGATGCAACAGTGACCGTAGATGGTCAAAACTGTCCAGTCATCTCCACATCCCCTGACCAGATAGTGTGCGTCATACCTCCCAAGGTCAGTACTCTGTTATAGTTATACCAACTTCATCATTCAAACACTTAATTGGTATTGGTATTGGTAAATTTGATTACAGTCCTATTTCTCCCACGTAATATTTTGTATTGTTTTGACCATTTGTTGGTGTGGTTTGCATTTGAAGACATCAGCTGGGGCTGTATCTGTGGTTGTGGCCATGGCGGGAGTTCCGTCGTCTACAGCCTCAAGCTCATTTACATATGATTCTGGAATCACCGCTCAGATCTCTTCCATTACTCCAACAACATCAGGGGTTAAAGGTCAGTTTAATTCAAAGTCGTGTTTGTAATGAATCATAATAATAAATACAATACAGTATATCTGTACTATATCATCAATGCTAACATTTTCTATGATTTTCTTCCTAGTTTTTTATATTTAGTGTTGTTGTTGTTTGATTGTTTGATGTAATGTTATCTTACGCCAGGTGGAGCTACAATAACGATCTCCGGGTCAGGATTTGGCAGCTCTGGAACAGTAATCATTGGTGGTACAGTTGTCTCCCCTTCGATATATTCGAACACGCAAGTGACCGCTACCCTTCCATCGCTTACTCCAGGATTGAAGGCTGTTCAAGTTGTCGTTGGAACAGATGGCGCTGCTGTTCTTTCTAGGTAGTTATGTTCTAATATCTGTGTGAAAGTTGAAGTTTAAAGGTTATACATGCTTAACAGGTTTGCATTGGTTATATTACCAGCTAGTATCAGACGTTATAGAATTTAGAATATCATTTGATTTAGCAGAGATCAGGCTTAATTTAACTGAATTATGAGATAAGATGGATATCAATTTCATGGTAAATAGCATGATATCCAATGAAAATTATGGCTGGATACAATAAACGGAGTTCTCGTTATTTTTTATTAGATTATACATCGACGAAACATCGATTCTTACAACTTCATTCAAATGTGTAATCTTATGAGTTTTGTAAGGAAAAACATTTTGCCAAAGACTGTAATATGATTTTTACAGAAACCTTCAAGATTTATCAATAAAAAAGCTAATCGTTGAAAATGCACATTTTCTGGTATTGGTAGTACAAAGTAGTATGTAATATCGCTATGCAGTAAACATATCACTGTAAATTCCTTCAAATTGTCACAAAGTGATGGATTAACACATTTATTATTCATGCAGCTCAAATGCTGTGCCTACAGTTGACTACCTCATGAAAGTCACCAACGTTTACCCACTTCAAGGCTCGCTCCATGGAGGGACCATGGTTACCATTACCGGAGACGGTTTGGGTTCTGATGCTGAAGTAAAATTTGGAGATACCGTCTGTGATGTTGACGCTGCAACTGCTACGTCAACGCAGATCGTATGCAAAATTGGTGACACAGGAATAGTCCACAATATTGACAATCAGGGATCGCATTTCGGTGAGGATTATGATTCAGGGTAACACTTGTAGATGTTGTTGGCCTTGGGGAGAAACACTAATTCCGTAATGTTTTTCTTAGAATTCATATGCAGTCACTGAATAAAATAAATAAGGAAAATAGAGAAAAAATAGTTAAATAAAACTCAGAGCTCTTTGATAGTAACTTTCGATATTACAAAATTGTTTGATAATGGTTGCAAGAGGGAAAAACTAAGAATGAAAATTGCAAAACCTGACCAAATCAGGTGGAACAAAAAAGAGGAAATGGAAAAAAGAAATGTTTTAAGTTTCAACTGAGATTTGCAAGTAATTTGAAACGTTTTCAGCTTTTGGCATTGGTTATGCTTGGAACCCAAAGAACCTACAAGTGAATCAGGGTGACACGGTTCGCTGGACTTGGAACTACCCAACCTGGGTGGCCGGAATGAAGCCGAGAGTGCAACAGACCACTAATGCTAGTTCTATTGAAGCCGAAACCGATGGTTTCAGTAGTGGTCCCACTGGAACAAAAACAGGTAAGAATCATCCTGATCAAATTGTATACAAAACATCTAAAAACTTAATCGCAACTATGTTGATATTCAATTGCAAAAACTAGTAGAACCACTACAAAATAAGATCTTTCAACAGTTTTTGCAACTGCGCCATTTGTATAATTTTAATCCAAGCGCAAAATCCATGAAACTAAGGTAAACATCGACACTATTAGCCATATTAACGAGCACCCACTAGTTAACAGAGAGATCACTGCGATCAAATAAAGTGTTCATTACATTCATATACCACAATGATCCAATAAAACAATTTCAACAGTCCTTGAAAAATAAAACGTGTATATATATTGTACTATGAAAGTGTATTTTCTTTGCAGGCGCTTTTGAATTCAAGTTTAATACATTGGGCACCAAATACTTTTGGAGTGATTATGTAGATATCTATACAACTACATGGTTCCGAGGGTCCATTAGCGTATGTTGGAGACTTAAGTGTCAAAATTGGTGGAATTGAGGCTGTCTATGACAAGAATTCGGGTAAGACGTCATAATGATTTGAAATAGGAAAGTTCACGTGTGAATTCTTACTAGCTATATGAAAGATTAACTTTAATGCAAAATCATGTATTTTTCGTTTGGGCTCGGCTCTTTTAACCAGTCAACTTATTATGATTTAAACATATAAGTTTATGGATTAAGAATAACCACAAAATCAAAGAAAAATAATCCGACTTGAACCATTTTTCCATGTTGTCCCGTCGACTCAAATTGGAAAATTGTTCATAGATCTGAGTTTTAATACGTTGCAATGTTCATATTTCTAATTATCAACATTCAATGTTTTTTTTTCTATAGAAACGTTTTTGGTCTTACATTAAAGGTAATCGTAGTTTAAGTTATACAATGACTTTTGTCATGTGTGTAGGTGTTGACAACCCTTCAGCGTCCGGATCCTGTGTCGGTACACTTAGTACT